GAATCGACATCAGAAGGACAATATGGACACTTGAAGGATTTTGTGCCGTTCTTTGACATCTTCGTAATAGACTGCTTGCAAAGCACATGTCCACATGACATCAACATAGGCGGATTTTCTTCAGTGGATTGTTCCTTAGACACTGGACACACAAATATAGAATGGAATTGAAACTCACGGTCTAACTCCACTGGCACAGGTAACTGCTTCATAGACTGCCATTCCTGTCTCTTTCCTGCCATTACGTTCATAAATTTGAGAAGAGGTGGCAACCCCTGAATCCCTGCCGCTATAGTTACACTCAATGGGCTCTCATAAGACTGCCCCAGAAGATTGCAGAACTGCCTGGTTAACTCCCCAGTCACTTTGTCCCAATTGGCTGGAGATAATAAGTGAGAGTATGGGGAGCGATGAAGCCTTCCGGTCCACAGAAGACACACCATCAGCTTTTGAATTTCAGCCATATGGTCAGAAGCAAAAGGAGCAAGATAAGTTCTGGCATACTGGAGAGCTCCATCTCTGTTTCCCTTTTGCAGTATTTCCACAAATTGCAGACTGTGAAGTTTCAGTAATAGGTCCGATCCATTTGGTTTGAGTTTATCAGAGTTAGTCATGGCCCAGTTCAGTGCTGGCTCTAGGTTCCGATGTTTCATTGCTTCAACTATCTGAAACATTTCCTGAAACTGAGATTTCACAGCAGCTTCAGATTCTGGTTCCTTAGCCTCAGTTCTAAAACAGTCGCCAATTTCGAATAGGCCTTGTCGATAGAAATGGCTGCCAATTATCTCGTTAACTGTGTGTGTATCAAAGTCAATGTTTCTATAAGCCTTGGATATATCAGGATTGAAGAATTTCTCAAGATGCTTCGGATACTTGCTAAGTGCTCCGTTCAGTTCCTTCTGCGTGCTTTCCAACTGACTGAGTGGAGCAATATCTTTTAGCTTCACTTTAAGTTCGGCAAGGGCAGACTTATAATCAACCTGAGACTCACAATCATTAGATGAT